TGTGTTCATCCAGCCCTGCACCTTGTTATCTCGGATTCTCCAGCATCTGCAGTTCCTACTATCTCTGATTCAATCTATCTCTGAATGCTGGATTGTTGATCTGAATGATCCAACCTCAACTGCCCTCTGCGGTAAAGAATTCCACTGATTCCTCCTCATCTCTGCCTTAAATGTGCAACCCCTTATTCTGAGATAATGCCCTCTGGTCCTAGATTCTCTCACAAGGGAAAATAACCTCCCCACATCTACCCTGTCTAGTCCCCTAAGAATCTTGTATGCTTGAATAAGGTCGTCTCTCATTCTTCTAAATTCCAAAGAGTACAGGCTGAAACTTTTCAACCTCTCCTCATAAGACAGTCACTTGGGGTGGGGTCTCTGTGGATCACAGGTTGTCTGTTGTGGCCATTGATTGGTTACCTAAGGGGCTCAGTTGGCCTCCAGGCAGAAAGCCCATTGACTTTCTCCAGCTCTGTCTTTATTAGAGGGAGTCAGGAAGATGACAAGCACCACATTCCCTCACTTCTAAAGGCTCCAGTAAATTCTGTCCCCAGTTCATACTAATAGGCATCATCACATCACAGGTCACCATTACAGAAATAATAAAGAGTGCCCCCACCTCTCCAGCAAGAATTTTCACCCAGACATTGGGAAGCCTGTGCAAACCTCTGCCACAAAAAGCGCTTGAGGCCAAATCTTTGAATGTTTTCATGATGGAGTTAGATATAGCTCGTAGGCATAAAGCCCTGAAGGTACGGGGAGAAAGTGTGAACAGGACACTCTGAGTTGGATGATCAGCCATGATCATATTGATTGGCAGAGCAGACTTGGAGGGCCGAAAGGCCTACTCCTGCTCCTATTTTCTATGCTGTTTTCTAACATTTCCTTAATCCATTACCATGACCTTGAGCACTCGCCTAATGGCAGAGACATTTTCCCACCCCCTCTCCTCTTGAACTTCTCTCATTTTGTTCCATAAGTAGTGGATAAGTAGTAAATAAGGTGTGAAAAAATACAGAAGTAACTTAGTGGCTCACTTCTGTTCCTCATCATTGGGCCAGGCAGAGAGGAAATAGTATAGAATCAACAAATTACTCTGCAGAAAATCATATATTTTTATTTATTTTTGTCTCACTATAACTCCAAACACGAGATTGCTCAGTTAAAATGGAATACTTGCAGCCAGCTGGAGTATGTGTAGTCCATTGTTCCCTCGAAAGCAGCAGCCACATTTTGGATAGCAATCAGGATTCCTTTCTCATTACTGAGGTCAACGTCACTCTTTTCAACAGACATGTTGTTTATCTGCAAACTCAGAAAACACATACAGAAGTGAGATTTGGTAAACAAATATAGTTCAACTGATGACATCATATACAAGTTTCAGTGTCCTTTTTAGGGAACATTTAGAACTTTATGCCATGTTACGTTGGGGCAAGACATGTGTTCGATTCAGAGGACATGCAATAGCCACTGATGTTCATTCCAAAACAATTACAGATTGGTGCAGATGAAAGAGTTTGGAAAGAACTGACAGCAACAAATGCCGGAGATTACAGCGGGTCAGGCAGCATCCATGGAGAGACAGCAAGCTAACGTTCCGAGTCTAGATGACTCTTCGTCAGAGCTGATGTGAAGTGTGGAGGCGACAACATTTATGCAATGGGGGGGGGGGGGGGCAGCGGGGTGGAGTGTAGAGTGCAGGGGGAGAAGGGATGTTGACAGTTCAGTGTAAGTGATCGGAATGTGAGAATGGCAGAACAATGATAGTAGGAACTGCAGATGCTGGAGAATCCGAGACAACAAGGTGCAGAGCTGGATGAACACAGCAGGCCAAGCAGCATCATAGGAGCAGAAATCATAGGAGCATTTTCTGATGACGGGTCTAGGCCCGAAATGTCAGCCTTTCTGCTCCTATGATGCTGCTTAGCCTGCTGTGTTCATCCAGCCCTGCACCTTGTTGTCTCTGTTATGGCAGAACAATGGTGTGTCTAACTGCCAGGAACAAAAACAGAAGTTGCTGGAAAAGTTCAGCAGGTCTGGCAGCATCTGTGAAGAACAATCACAGTTAACGTTTCGGGTCCAGTGACCCTTCCTCAGAACTGGACCCTTCCTTGAACTGCCAGACTGGAAAGAACAGGCAGTGCCACTGGGCTGGGGTTTAGGGGAGAGAGGACATGGTGACTGAGAATGTAGCAAGTAAAGCTAAAAGAAAGGGAAGAGATGGGAGTTGGTTCACAATTTGAAGGTGTTGAACTCAATATGAAGTCCAGAAGGCTGTAAAGTGCCTATTGTGAAGATGAGATGTTATTCCTGCAGTTTGTGCTGTGATTCACTGGAAACACTGCAGCATGCCGAGGACAGACACATGGGCACGCGAGCCGGACGCTGTGTTAAAATCACCAGCTACAGGAAGGTCAGGATCCTGCTTGCACATGGACCGGAGGTGTTCTGCAAAGCAGTCACCCAGTCTGCAATTAGTCGAGTAGGCCACTCTGGGTGCAGCAAATACAATACACAAGATTGGAGAAGGTACAGGTGAAATGCTGCTTCACCTGGAAAGACTGTTTAGGTCCTTGGATGGTGAGCGGGGAGAAGGTGAAGGGGCAGGTGGTGCATCTTCTGCAGTTACATGGGAAGGTGAGGTGGTGTTAGTGGTCAATGAAGGGACTAGGGTGTCCTGGAGGGAACGATCTCTGCAAAACATAGACAGGGCAACTGAGGGGAAGATGAGTTTGGTGTTGGCATTCTGCTGGAGTTGTCTGAAATGGCAGAGAATGATGCTTTGAATGCGGAGGCTGTGGGATGAAAAGTGAGGACAAGGAGAACCTGATCACACTGTTGTGAGTGATGGGAAGGGGCAAGGGTGGAAGCACAGGTGACTGGTCAGATGTGGTTGAGGGCCCTGTCAATAACAGAGGGTGTGAAACCACGGTTATGGAAGAAGTAAACCATGTCAGCAGCTCTGCTTTGGAAGGTGGCATCATCCAAACGGATGCGATGTAGGCGAAGGAACTGGGAAAATGGGATGGAGTCCTTGCAGGATGTGGGGTGCGATGAGCTGTAGTGAAGGTAACAATGGGAGTCAGTAGTTTTGTAGTGGATGGCAGTGGATAGTTAATTCCCTGAAATGGAGACAGAAAGGCAAGGGAAGGAAGTGTCAGAAATGGACAATATGAAAGTTATAGAGGGGTGGAAATTGGAGGCAAAATGAACAAATTTTTCAAGGTGCAGGCAGGAGCATGAAGTGGCCCCGAAACAGTTGTCAATGTCCAGAGAAAAAAAGAGGTGTGGGAGGGGGGCAGTGTAGGATTGGAACAAGGATTGTTGCACATACTCCATAAAGAGCCAGGCATAACTGGGAGCCATGTGGGTGCCCATAACCACTCCTTTGACTTGGCAGAAGAAAGATGAATTAAAGGAGAAATTATTCAGTGAGAGAACAAGTTCAGCCAGGCGGAATAGAGTGGTGGTAGATGGGGATTGTTCAGACCACTGGTCGAGGAAGAAGCCAAGAGCTCTCAGACAATTCTGGTGGCTAATGCAGGTACAGAGGGATTGAACTCCACGGTGAACAGGAGGCAGTTAGGGCCAGGGAACTGGAAATTGTCAATACAATGGCAGGCATCAGAGGAATCACGGATGTAAGTGCAGGGTCTGGACAAATGGAGAGAGGATAGAGTTAAGGTAGGAGGAAATAAGTTCAGTGGGACAGGAACAGGCTGATACAGTGTGCCTACCTGGGCAGTCTGGTTTGTCAATGTTGGGAAGCAGGTAGAAGTGGGCTGTTTGGGGTTGGGAGACTATAAGGTTGGAGGTAGTGGGGTGGGGAAGATCTCCGGAGGTAATGAGGTTGGTGACAGACCTGGCAAAAATGGCTTGATGTTCAGATGTGGGGTAATGTTCCAGGAGGAGGTAGGAAGAAGTATCCAAGGGTTGGCATTCAGCCTCTGCAAGGTAAAGATCAGTGTGCCATGAACAAATTTTTCAAGGTCCTGGTGGGAGCACGAAGCGACATGAAAACATTGGTCAATGTACCAGTGAATCACAGTGCAAACTGGAGGAACATCTCATCTTCAGACTAGGCTTTTTACAACCACCTGAACTTAATATTGAGTTCAACACCTTCAAATCTTGAACCACCTCCCATTCCTTCCCATTCTTTTAGCTTTACTTGTTAAATTCTCTGACACCATGTCCTCACTCCCGTCCCCTTACCCCAGCGGGACGGTCTGTTCTTTCCAGTCTGGCAGTTAGACACACCATTGTTCTGCCATTCTCACATTCCAATCATTTATTCTGAATTATCAACGTCCTTTCTCCCCCAGCACTCCACTCTCTACACCCCCCAATTATTGCATAAATGCTGCCCCCTCCACACTTCACATCAGCTCTGATGAAGAGTCATCTAGACTCAAAACGTTAGCTTGTTCTCTCTCCATGGAAGCTGCCTGACCTGCTATGATCGCCAGCATTTGTTGTTTTCAGTAAAGATTCCAGCATCTGCAGTAATTTGCTCCTATAAAGTGTTTTTAAAAAAAACTATAGAATTCAGCTCGGTCAACGTTGGTTTCGTAACACCCCAATATCTGTGACAGCAGGTCATGTGTTCAAGCTGCACTCCAGAACTTTAGCATGTAGACTAAGTTGACCCCTATATCTTCAATAATGGTGATATTGAAAAGAACTGTAACAGATTTAATGGTAAACTGTTACAGTTAAGTATAGAAGAAATAGTTGATCATGATTGTTTTGTGGAAGTCCATATTGACTTTGGAGCTTTGAGCATATTCTTCATGTAAGTGTTTGCAGAAAGCTGAAATATAACTGAGTAAAGTACACTTTCGAGGGTGAGTGCTGAAGGTCATGCTTGTACTGTAATGAGATGCTACTATGTTACAGTCAGCACTGAGTAATGTAAGCTGCAACTCAACAACAGTTAGAGGCTATTCCCTTTTTCTCCCTTTATATCCAGAAGTGTTTTCACATACAACTGAACATTTTTTCCTATCACCAAATCACCCATGGTACTTTACATCGATATTACCCACCACCACTAAATCACTCATATTTTGAATGAATCGATTTACCTGCAAAGCCTTACAAGAGCAATACAGATCAGCAAAGGTGAGGGAAATGGCAGGAAGAGAGGGAAGGGATTAAATCAGAATGGAGTTGGAGGGGCTGATAAGGCCCTTCACTCCTGTGATACCCAGCTTTCTCTAAAAGATCTAGAGGCTATTAAGTTTAGAGGTAATGACATCTAAAAAGTTTCAAACTAATGATTCCTGCAATACCTGGTGTACCTCAAGGGGTCTTGTGGCACAGTGTAGTCTCCCTCACCCTGAGGGAAGGATTTTGTGTCACAGTGGTAGTATCCCTAGCTCTGAGCCAAAAGGTCTGTGTTCAAGTCCCACCTGCCCCAAAGGTGTGTAATAACATCTCCGAACAGGTTGATTTGGCACACTGATCACATTCCAACTTTGCATTTGGCTGTAACAGAGGTGCTCTGCGTTTATTGACTGATTTAAACAAGGGTGGTGTAAATAAAAGCAATTAACCAGTTTGGACAAGATATCAAGCCGATCTGCCCTCTCAGACTGATGATAGAAGGCTCTAGGAGAATATATGAGGAGCAGTGGTGTTCGCCTATCTAACATTGGCCAATCCCAACAAAACTCAAATTAATCAGTTATCTCATTGCAATTTATGTGACCTTGTCTTATACAGACTGCCATGTTTGACTACAAAATAACAATGCCTATACAGCCAAGGTAATTCATTAACAGAATGGTGCTTAAAGGACCTTCAAGAGGATATGAGTGTCTGAAAAAGAACTGCAAACTACACAGTGAAATATCTTATATTGCATATCATTGTTTGCACATTTTTTGTTCTCGCATGGGATGTGTGTATCAATAGCAAGGTCTGTCAATGACCACTCTTGAGAAAGCAGAAGTGGACTGCCTTCTTGAGACACTGCAATCCACCTGCTTAGGTACACACATAGTGTTGTAAAGAAGGGAGTTCTGGGATTTTCACCCAGTGACAGTGATATAATTCCTAGTCAGAATGGAGTTTGTGCAGGAGGAAAAGTTCCAGGTGGTGGTGCTGCTGTTCAGCTACTGCCCTTGCCCTTCTAAGTGGTAGATGTTCCAGGTTTGGAAGATGGTATCAGAGAAACCTGGGTGAACCACTTCAACACATCATGAAGGTGGTACACACTGCTGGCACTCTATGGGGTGGTGAAGGATGTGCATGATTAAGATGGTGGATAAGGTGCCAATCATTGGTTGACCCAATTAGGTTTCTAATCAGTAGTTATCCACAGGATGCTGAGGGTGGGGCATTCAGTGATGGTACTGCTGTTTAAAGCCAAAGATACATCTGGCATAAATATAAATTGCTACTTTGGCCTGAAATAAATGATTTCACTATGTAGCATCCACTCAGTTATTGGAGCATTGCTGCCTATATCCTTCTGGTACAGGGGGACCTTCACACTGATAGATCCCATTCCAGTCACTTCACACTTTTGGTTTCAATCTTGACCCCAAGGAGGAACAACACAAACTAAAGGGTGCTGGGAACTGCAGTGAGAGTGCAGAGAGAAACTCCAAACAGTAAGTGGAGAAATTACAAATCTGCAATCTGCAAGCAATTGACATCTTTAAAAAGGAGATGAATTAATACATTTAAGGGAGGGTGATTGAAGTGTAGAAAGATATTAACAGCAATGCTTAATTTTTCCCACTCCATTCTTCCCTAGCCACCCTCAGGAGGGACTGATGAAATGTAACGTTCCCACTTAAGGGAGGGGTCAGGAGACAACATGATGATAATCATTGATAGAATTTGTACATATTAGGATTAAGACAGAAAATGAAGGCTCTACTCAGAACATCTGCGGAAAAACACATAGACTAGGCACAAATTAGTTGAAAGGAGTATCTGCACTCTTTTGGTTTGTTCCTCTGAGAATAGCACCTTACTTTGAATCACTAATTTCAATGTCTCACGGTACTCAGAGCTGCAAAATCTCATGCAGGATGGTTTGCTAACTGACGTGAAACAATTCATCAAAATTTGCAATTACTAAAGTCAATTTACAGACAGCTGAATGCACGCAGAGAACTTAAAGGCAACTCAAAAAGCTTACTTTTTAAAACTGTATGAAACTGAGCCTAAAAGCAGAATGGATGTCTCCCCTTCTATGTCCGGGAATGATGCATGTCGAAATGTGGCCTGAATTACATCATTGGTTTCCTGGTTGACTGGAAAACACAGTTTGAAAGTTTTGTTAAATTATTTGGAATATTGTCCCAGTTGGAACACTTTGATCATAAACATTGTGCCAATGCAAGCTCTGGAAAGGAAAAACCAAGCAGCTTCATTTAAAAAGCTTTGCCACAATGATTTATCCCAATCAGCTGGAGAGTTGTGTGACATTCAGCAACATAAGGGAAACACATTTTAACAGCAAACTCTCAAACTAGAACCATTCCTAACGCAGTACAAAACAGGCTTTAGCTAGGCATCAACATTTACAATATAAACTTGTGCATCAAAAAATTAAACAGTAATTCAAAGGGAGGGGTGGTCTATTGCTATTATAGCCAGACTATAAATAAGGAGATCCAGATAACATTCTGGGGGCCTGGGTTTGAATCCTGCTATGGTGGATGGTGGAATTTGCATTCAACATGAACCCATTACTGCAGTGAGGGATGGGGGGGGACACCCATCTATCTAGTTCACTAATGTCCTTCAGGGAAGGAAATCTGCTGTCCTTACCTGGCCTGGCCCATAAGTTACTGTAGGCACTTAACAGCCCTCTGGCCAATTAGGGATGGGCAATAAATTCTTGCCTGGGCAGCAGTGCCTGTCCTGTGAATGAATTAAAACTCTCTTGTCTCTGGAAAGTTGGATACCTTTGGCACAGCAGCGGATGACCTACTCCCGAGCTCAAGCCCCCATCTGCACATTGAAAAATAAATTTAGCTGGCATTAAGTAGCCGCCAATCTTTAGTGAACGTTCTGAAATAAGGAAATTCTTTCACTTTTCACAAAGGCAGAGGTATGGAAAAATAGGCTGGAAGGGTTCTGGAAGTAAGTTGAATGCAATGCAATGTCACTGAGCTCAGCGGTAACTTTCCATACCACATTCTCAGCGAATAACAAGCGCCTCAATTCATCTGCAAGGCTATGGGGCTTCTTTCAACATGGTCCACTATAAACGTTCAGATCGTGTCATTATCAGGCAAAGGGTGGTTGGAAGGCTGTCGCTTTGATTCTCTCTTTGCCCCGAAGTTAAGGAACTTACATACTAGTCCCGCTTCCTCGGTAAATCTGCAGACAATCCCCGCGTTGGGAACGGATGAAGGCGGGGATCCTTGAACACAGGAAATTGAGACCGTAGCCAGGAATACAAACACTGGGGTGAGCTGTATCCGCAGAAACATGTTTCCAGTTTACCGTGACTCAGTGCTGTGGACCTTGATGTTAGCACGCTTGTTAATGTATCTTACAGAGTTGAATTCTACTCGACATCGTCAGTCAGAGTGCACTCCACTCCCAATGCAAGGACATGATGCATTTCCCTACATATGCATGCAGAGCAAATATCCTCACTTGTTTTGAATCACCTTTTGACCTTTTTTCCAATAAACATTAACAGTCCACCATTCCAGTTACTCCTTAAAGTAAACTGAGTCAGAGCCAAAATTAAGTAACTGGATTTCAAAACCAAATTGTCAGAGATCCATGAAACGAATCCCACGCTTTTTTTTTGTTGAAATGAGAGTTTACTGGTGTTGACAGTGAGATAAATCCTTCTCACCAGCACTCTCATGCTCTCAAAGCTGATTCTAATGATTAGGAGCACCCCCCTTGATCGTCCTGGTTCTGAATGTAGCAGGTGAAAAGGAACCAATATATTTTTCAACTCAACAGAGCCATGTTATAGTGTAACAGAAAACAAAACAACCACAATCAAGAACCAGATCAGAGAGTCATTGACTTAGTTTCAGCTCCCAGGAAACCTCTCTTTAATGGGTTGTCATTGTGCCTTGGCAGATGATGGGTGGCTTACACAACAGGTCAAAAAAGACCAAGGACTGCTTCAAGTTATCCAGACTGTGTCAAAACAATAGCTGGGAAGGCCAGCCATTTCTGGGAATACTTTTCCGTTCTATTTCAGAGAGGGGAAAGGTTTCAGTTTCCTCACCCACACCGCCAAAATGAAAGAGATTGTACCATTTCCCAGTCCTGCATACCCTCTCCACTGTTATGGAGGCCCTCGCCTGCCATAACATGTCACAACAAAATCTTGCATTTTTCAACGACAAGATCTATCTTAACATAGAAAATAAAAAATAGGAGTAGGAGTAGACCATTTGGCCCTTTGATCCTCCTCCGCCACTCAATACGATCATGGCTGATCATCCACAACAATACTCTATTCCTGCTTTCTCCCCCATACCCTTTGAACCCTAAGAATTCTGTCAAACTCCTTGACAACCATTCGATGTTTTAGCCTCAATTGCTTTCCCTGGCAGAGAATTTCATAGGCTCACCACTCTCTGGGTGAAGAGATTTCTCCTCATATGGCCTATCTCATATCCTTAGACTGTGCCTGGAAATAAATATGATGAATGGAATCGACTGAAAGCCACAATATCCATTTGGAAAGGTAATTGGATTGACTCATTCCCAACTTTTCTTTCCTAACGGCGCTCTCGGGGTTCCTACACCCTAAGGACTGCAGCAGTTCAACAAGGCAGCACCCCACTACCTTCTTCCGACAATTAGGGATGGGCAATAAATGCTGGTCTAGCCTATGATGTCCACATCCAATGAAAGAATAAAATAAATGTTTTCTGGATTCTGAAACAACACCCACAGCATATTGTCACCATAACAACACGTCTGAGACTTTGTGCACCTGTAGTGTGAGGCAAGAGCCATTAAATATGCTTAACCAGCTTGACTGGGAGATGTAACTTAAAGTTGAGATTTACTCAACTGCTGGCCAGGGTACACAAGTGACGTCATTCTGCATCAAGTTTTAATCTAACCAGCGGGAACTTCAGATGAATTTAGCTTGCTATTGTGATGACCTGATTGAAATTAACCAATCCCCATTCTACCACTCCATTATTTGGACACAAACTGAAACTTATTTACAAAGACCAACTTTGGAAGCAATGCAAAAAAAGTTCATTCAGTATTTAACTGCAGGGAAACAAGTTAACTATTCTTGAAATGGCGAATGATGTTTGAATGACAGTCACAAAATGTATCTGGAAACATTATTTTCCCTGAAACGTCCCATTTCTAGGTCACCTATTTGCCTTGGATGTTTAAATATTGTAGCCAGTGTCACAACCACAGTTACCACATGTTTGGGAACTGATGCCAGTGCTTGTATGTGGCCATTTATTTTACATCCATACTTTAAGATATCAAAATCACAAGCTCTCTAATTTCAAATCCAATGTGCCTTGTTTGTATGCACCTCCTGTGCAGCCATAACCTTGTATGCCTCACTTTGTCTAAGCACCCTGTGATCTGTATGTCCTTGTTTGTTGTGATCTGCCTGCAATGCTTGCAACACAAACTTTTCACTGTACTTAGGTACATGAGACAACAATAAATCAAATCAAAGCTCTGAAGACTTTTCATTGCTTTTGGTTTTCTTAAGTTTGAAAGTTGTGATAAAAGACAGGAATAATTCATACCTACACAGCTCACAATAGCTACCCTAATGTAAGAATGGCTGTATAGATTCGGAATCTCACCTTTTGCTTTCAACAAAGGGCTGCATTTTATGTTTCCCTGCCAGCAGCTTTAAAGGCAAGGAACATCAACTACCAGTGGGCACTGTGCCATCCCACACACGACTCTGCAATTAGACATGTGCGGGGAGAATCATTGGGCAGCCCATCCATCCTTGCGCCAATCGAAGCCCTTCATTACCTAATTAATGTCAACGTAAGGACCTCATCTCTGATGGCAAGCATATTTGCCTGTAATGAGGATGCAGGGGCTAGAGGTGAACCATGTGCCTTATAGATTTCTCAGCCGAGGTTGGTGCTGGGTAAGGGGGTAGGGCCTTCCTTAACTGGCCCACTCGGCCCATAGGGGGCACCACCGTGTTCATCCAATACCATAATCCCCAGCCTACTGATCCCAGCCCCTTCCTCCACGCTGTCTACTCTACAGCCCTTAGTGATACCAACACCCTCCTTTTCACCCCAGTAATTTACCTTCTGTCTGGTTTCTGGCTCCTTGATGACCAGGACTAGATACATTCTCAGCAGGAACCATAGCTTCCAGTGGTGTCGCTGAACTACAGCGGTACCAGCCATTCGTCTATCCCCAGATGTAGACAAGACTCGCCTCAAGAGAATTAGTCCCTAACAAAATTAACTAGCTGCATGGCAAGCTTCCTTGTCCAGCCCCTGAATATTTAGCCAGAATGCCAGGAACCAAAATATTAAATACATCTATTCTAATTGCCTCAACTTGTTAACACTACAACCATTCTCTGGGTAACTAACTTTCTCCTGAATTTCCTCTTGGATTTACTACTAACTATCTTACATCATTGGTCCTGTGTTTTGGTTTCTGTCACAAATTGAAACATCTTTTGTATGCCTACCTTATCCAATGCTTCCATAATCTTAAATTCTCTGTCAGGTCATCTCTCAGCCTTTTCTCTTATAGAGAAAACAGACCCAACCAGTTCAGCTTTTCTTAAAAGTGTTCTGAAGTAAATGTAGAACAGAGAAATTGTAGGAAAGATTCTAAATTTTATGGTTTGTTCTTCTTTTACTTTATTTGATTTGATTTGATCAAATCCCAAGTCTAAGAAATTTACTGCAGAATTTCCCATCAATGAGGAACTTCGGTTATGAAGATAGATTGGAGAGGTTAGGACTGTGTGCAAGGGAGAAGTGAAGGTGAGGGGAAATTTTAAAGAGGTATTCAAAATCACGAGGATCTGGGTAATGTGGATAGGATAGAAAATGAGAGGGCACAGATTTAAAGTAATTTACAAAAAGAAGCAAAAGCAACATGATGAAAAAAATCACTTTACATAAGGTGTGATTAGAGTCTGGAATGCACTGCCTGAGAGCATAGTGGAGACAGGCACAATTAGGCATCCCAAAGCGAATCAGACTGTTACCTTAGGAGGAAGAATGTGCAGCATTACGAGGAGAAGGGGAAGAGATTGGTGGCTGAGTGAAGTGCTCATTTGGAGAGACAATGTGGACCCGATGGGCTGATTGGCCTCTTTCTGTGCTGTAATAATTCTGTAATTCTGGGATATTGGCAACACTTTACTATTTGTGTCTAATGCTATGAAAGGCATAATTGCATCCTAATCCCTTAACAGAAGTATTTGTCTTTCTTTCTGGCCTAAGAATGTTGGAGATTTGTGTACCATGCATCAACATCAGAGTAAGGAATTGCTCATTTAAGAGAGAGCTGAGGAGGAATCTGTGGAATTCTTTACCGCAGAGGGCTGTCAAGATTGGGTCATTAAGCACATTCATGACCAAGATAGGGGCTCTGTAGTTAGCACCGCTGCATCACAGCACCCGGGGCCTGGGTTCAATTCTGGCCTCGGGCAACTTTGTATGTGGAGTTTGCACGTTCTCCCTGTGTCTATATGGGTTTTCTCTGGTTTCCTCCCACAGTCCAAAAACGTGAAGGTTAGGTGGATTGGCCATGCTAAATTGCCCATAGTGTGTAGGTTAGCCATGGAAAATGCAGGTTACACAGATAGGGTGGGATGCTCTTCAGAGGATTGGTGGTCTGAATAGCCTGTTTCCATGCTGTAGGGATTCTATTAAAAAAAAACTATGGGGATGAATTTTTTCATGGCAGGAAGAGGGTGCTGCCCACACCCACCACCCCACCCCCGCTTCAACCAGGCCCTGTTGGAGAATTATGGTGCCATCTTCCTCTTCTGTGACATCATGGCACTGTGTCCATCACTGAGCAGGGCAGAATTCCAGCACTTGTCCCCGGGTACACTGCTGCCATTTTAAAGCTGGAAGGGGCACCAGGGATGCTGATGGATACCCACCGAGTGATGAGTTTTTCTGGGAATGGCACGTGGTAAGATAGGGATAGAATCGGACATGAGGATACCATCCTGTTGTGGTTGGTAGTTAATGAGGCCAGTTTGGTAAGATACAGTCAGAAATCTTGCTAGGCCTCAAAGCGAAAAACCCTCTTACAAAAAAAAACTCTACTCAACTCACATTTAGCCAATGTTGTTTTCCAAGGCCAACTTTGAAAACAAGTCAAACATTGAGTGAATGTAGTTAACTGTGGGGAAACACAACAGCTGTCCTTGAACTGGAACAGTGAGACAGTTCCCTGGCAGATGCGCTGTATCTGTTACGTTTACAACATGCAATATTTCAACTGGATTGGAAATGTTTCTAATGTAGTCCAAAAGCTACTAGTGCACTCTAATGCGAGGATGACTGACACTGCCAAAATATTGCTCAAAGTACTTGTAAATAGAGATGTAAATACTTATGTTTGAGGTCACTAAACCTAGCTAATTGAAGAGATAT